AATCATATTCGATAGTTAGGTGAAATCATTCCCTAGACTTTTCCATCTTGATTAAATTCATATTATTTGTATTCATTAAATTCGTCACCAAAATTATCATTAGACTAGTTAACAATATTGATTCATAACTCATTCGTCTATATAAAATAAAGGCTACATAACTATAGTACTTCCTTGTGAGTTCGACACTCTTACTCCAATATTATATTACAAAACTTGACACCGTACGCATACAGCATAAATCACGTTATAGAAAACGCGTGACAAGTTTTTGACGCCGTTGTCGGGGATTGTTTTATTTGATTTTTACTAATATTATTACCAATTAGCTTTTATTTTAATTTAGATTTTTAATTTAATTTAATTTATTTATATCTCTGATAGTTTGTTGGTTTGTTAATTTCAACTGTGTATGTGAAGAGTGAGGAATCTGGGATTCTTACCTGTTGATCCTGAACCAGAAGACACATTCCGCTTTTTAAGGGGTACACATAGGTACGAGCGTGAAGCAATGACAGAATAGGAAGATGGAGCAGCAAATGAAAATAATCAACAACGGGCTATTCGGGACTATGTCAGACCAGTTGTTAATGACAACTATTCCGGTATCGCACGCCCAGCTATTGCTGCAAATAATTTTGAGCTGAAGCCGAGATTGATACATATGGCACAACAGAACAAGTTTGGAGGAGCTCCGATAGAAGACCCAAATGCTCATCTGGGTTCTTTTCTAGAGATTTGTCATAAGGTGAAAATGAGTGGAGTCACTGACGAGGAAATTAGACTCTACGTATTCTCTTTTTCCTTGAGCGACAAAGCCAAGGCCTGGTTCCAATCACTGCCTTATAGATCCATCACAACTTAGGAGGGGTTAGCTCGGAAGTTTCTCACAAATTTTTTTCACCTTACAAAGTAGCTCAATTGCGGAGTAAAATTGGTCGGTTCAGACAAGTAGATTTTGAACCATTCTATGAGGCTTGGGAGAGATTCAAAGATCTACTTAGAAGATGTCCTTAGCATAGTTATCAGAGTTGGGTACAAATCGAACTCTTCTACAACGGGCTGAATGATC